CACCTTCAACTTTTCACTAGGACAATTAACTTTTCTGTCCCCATCTGTGAACACAAGATATACTCTTTGTATGTACATCTTAAAAAGCCCCAAACCCACAAAACACAAGAAGTCTCACCACCACCAAAAAACACAAACCATAATTTCAAACATTGCTAAAAAAGTTGGCCTGTTACAAATGCTATACTTGAACTTGCGAACTACAAACACTCATTTCTAAAGAGACTGCCCTTTTTATTTTCTAAGCGCTCAGGCAATAAGTATTTCCCCACCACCACCCTACAGTTCTTCATACATTTGCATGGAGTTTCTGTACTGCTCACATAGCCAGATGCAACCTGACTACACTGGAAGGGAAAGCAGAAACACAGCTGCTTCCCTATGGCAAATTAAGTGTCCTATGACTGGTATCAAGTATATTTTTAATGGAAGGTCTCTCCCAATTAGATCTGTTTATACATAATTTGAACCAATTTTCTTTGGTACATTCAGACAAAAAGCTTCCTGACAACTGTCACTGATTCTTCTCAATTTCACCTTTTTTTTTTTCCCTCCATCAAGTACATTTTGTGCTTTGTTCAAGACACTTTCTTTGCCAAGCCAAAAGCTGTCCTAAGACATAAGAAAAAAATGCTTTTAAGCTGCTGAAGGATAGATAACCAGTGTGGCAGCTCCATACTTGTTCCCCAGCACATGCAAAACACCCTCTGACAGGTTAGAAAAAAAAGGAAAAAAACCCCAAAACCCAACTGCCTTCCCTCCCCCGCCAAAAACCCAAACAAACAAAACCCACAAAACCAGCTTAGTTTCTTTCTCATTTAACAAAGACACTGCTTACTCACAATTACACCAAGTCTAGCAGATCATATTATGGGAAAACTAAAATTTAGACCCATTATCAGCGTGGATTACAAACACAAGAACAGTGTTAGCACCCAGTCCTCACTCTCTGAAGGACCAGCAGCCCTGCAGCATAGCTCAGGCAGGCACTGGAGCCCCAGTCTGGTCAGTGCCATTAAGGTCTGTTAAAACGCTCAGGACCCTGGCACATATCCATCACAGTAACTTAACTTGGACTGCTCAGGTTTTTGATGTGACAGCTGCACTCTGAAGAGTGTACTGCCAACTTCAGTCCAGACTAGCTACATCATGAATAATTATTCTCAGTTTTACTGTGACCAAGACAAAAGGAACGTAATTACAAATATCTTTCTACAATTCAAATTGCTGAAGACTATTAATTAAAAAAACATGGCAGTGAGGCAACCAAGCCATCAGGATCAAGAAAAAAGAATAAGGGGGGTACTGCAGAAGCTTTCATCTCTGCTGCGCCCCCCCCCCCAGCCTTCAGAATTATTGATATGGCAATCTTTAAGCCACATTACAAATGAAACTCCATGGAAAACAAACCAAATGGCAGCCATCTATAAGAGATGATCAAAAGACTGGTGCAGGCGGAGTTGAAACAAGAGCAATCAAACGTAGAGGACAGATGTAGTTTGCATTCTGCTTTCTTACCTGATCTGCTGCAATGAAATAGGTGTTTTAATTTGCTGATAATAATCAGGATACTTTTTCTTGGAGGGCAAGTGGAAAAAGGGTTCAGATATGAGCTGGCCCTGATTATTTCGGCAACTTCTAACTGTATCATAAAGCTGATAAAGAGGATTAGAAGTGTCCATGAAGGAAGTAATGCTCTCGGCTTCAGATTCTCCCTCTTCATAACGAGCAGCGGCTGCACAGAGAGAAACGAAAAACGGGAAACTCAGTAGGACAACTCAGAGTGGGAGTTTTTGATGACTTTTCAAATGGATAAAGATCTAAACCAGAGGAAAAGGCAGTCCCTCAAGTGAGGGTGCTCAGCCACTCTCTGTCAGTCAGATTCATACCTCAGAAAAGGACATCACAAATCTACTGTATGAGCCTTAGGCTGACAGAAAAAAAATGTACTTTATCTAATTATTAGAATCTCTCTTACCAGATGAGTCTTCATTTATGCCACTGGTAATACACCCTTACCAGCTACAACTGCTGAGAAGCATTCATGTATCAGACCCCACACACTACATAGACAACAGCTACGTCCTTATTTACCCATCAAACCATTAACACTAGTATTTGTGCCAAATACATTTGTATACTGAACTACTGTCATACTGACAAGAGCTCACTACAAGGATACAAACTGACAAACCATGTCTGGAATTTTCAAAGGTGCCTAGCCAGTTAAGCCAAATGGCCAAATTCAAAACGCATTTTTGAACATATATCAGAAAAGTGACTTCAAAACTTCTGTAATCCTTTAAAGCACATTAATCACATCTCAGTTCAAAAGTTGTGAAGTTTAGCAGGAAAAAACTGACAAGCCTGAAGGTGCACCTCTACACAGCAAAATAAAGAATAAATATTTTAGAATTATATTGTTAGCATTCTGTGTTTATATATATAATTAGTATAAATCTTTCATAATAAAGTATTTACAAATTTTATAGCAAACCTAGTTATCTGTATAAAGTATATATTATGCTTCAGTATTAGGATGAATGAGAGAAATGCTATGAAGAACAAACATTTACTGCAGACAAAATTAGGAGAAACATTACATGACCAACAGAAACACAACAGGAATGAAAAAAAACTGGTAGTGGAAATACCGGATGGAAAAAATAAGTGGCCAATCCTCCCACACTTCTCAGTAACACAAATGGTGTAGTTTGTACCTTGCAGACAAGCATAACATAAAATCTATGTGGGTTTGCACATACTGGAGTTAAATTATTCACCCCTTTTTTCGCCTTCTTAAGAATTAAAGTTTGAGGGAAAGTTTGGCAGATGACACACTTGGTAATTCAGTCACATAAAAGACAGTTCTCTAACACTCACGCCAAGTTTCCAGCTGGCATTTTTGTTATTGCTCAGCAGAGGTTGGCAATGTTTCAAGCTTTCTACCCAAGTTCAGTAAAGACATACTGAAACGACGACAAAGCCAGGGGACACTCTCTCTACATAACAGCATAATACTATCACTTTTCCTCTGCAGTCTGATGTTGCAGATCTATGCGAGCGTATGATGTGTGGGACCTACCAGACAAGTTAGATGCAAACTAAAACACAAGTAGATCTCGTGCAAACACACAACGAAGATGTTCATTAGTGATTCACGGAAGACACTCCAAATCATCCTAATCTGTGTATGCCTACAAATTATCCTAATGTGTATGCCAGTCAGCATCACTTAATGGCTTAGCATCTACCACATAGAATCATAGAATGGTTTGGGTTGGAAAGGACCTTAAGATCATCTAGTTCCAACCCCCCTGCCATGAGCAGGGACACCACACACTAAACTATGTCGCCCAAGGCTCTGTCCAGCCTGGCCTTAAATGCCTTCAGGGTTGGAGCATTCACAACTTCCTTGGGCATATCTACCACAGTAGCCAACAATGCAGCAGCTGGACAGAATAACTCAGGTAGAAATAAAAAGACTGGAGTTAACACTATGTTTTCCTGTACCTGAACACGGAGATAAATGCTAACAGCTGAGAGAATGCTATTAGGTAAAGTAAGTTTCAAATATATACCACACAGCAAAATAATGTCTTTGGTTTTGTTCAGTCAAATAGTTCAGATCTGAGTGTTCCATCAAAAAGTAAGAAACAGAGTAGAAAAAACAGCAGAACTTGTTTTTATGAAAAAAAAAATAAATAAGCAACTAGCCAAGTATATTGCCATCCTCTGACATGTGGCAGCCAGCAATGAAGCAGTTCAATAACCTAGATAAGAAAAGTACTTGCTCTGCATTGAAGTAGAACACCAGGCATTCCCTAAAATAAAGATCTAAGTAAATTAAACAGGCACTAAAAGGAAAGTGTTTACATAATATTGTAATACAGCTATAAACATTTTCATTATGATGTGTATGTTCTTTAAAAGCAGTATGTCAAACACTATATGTTCTTACCTATTTGGAAAATTAGTGTTCTAGTATGAAATCTTTCTCTTAAGAACTGATGAAGAATGCATTATTCAGAGCAGAAGACAGAAAAAAAAATGTATTTTGCTATGAAACAATCTAATGCAAGACTATAGATTGTTTAATATGCAGTAGCACCAGGTGGCTTATCCCCACCAAGCACTCGCTGGCAGTGAAGTCAGTCAGTTACTCCTCTTTCATGCAGCTGTTACCACTACTAATGTTAACAGAGAAACAAAAAACCCTGCAGCAAAACCTAACTGCAAAGTATCTGCCACTCAACACTCCAAAACAAAAAGTATTTCCTGCTGTCCATTCCACACCACAGTGACTGCTTCCTAATGAAGGGCCAGCTTCATAATGGAGTGATGTTAAATTGACTTCACTGCAGAAGGAGGAAACCATCTAATTTACAACTACAACTGAGCTTCATTATCAGATATAAATGCATCTATCATAATCATGTACTCTTACTCAGTGATGAGACAGAAAAAGAGCAGAGAGAGAGTATTTGTGTGTATGTGAAAGCAAATTAGTCTTTACTCAGTAAGTTATTTGCTCTAAACGCTGTCTCCTTTGTGGTCCCAAAGCACCTAGACAACAATGAATGCCCAAGTCTAACTGAAGATAGATGCTACTAAAACCAAAGGCAGCATCCAGTCTTAAAACATTTCTAAATTAAATAACAATACATTAAATTGCTTTGTTTACAAAATGTTATACTTATTTATAAGTAGTACAGAAGAACCATCTATGCCTGCCTTTACAGATTTATAATGGGAAGCAAGGATGCTGTAGAAGCTGCTTATGCCCTAGTACATTTGAGCTGGAAATCTACAAGCTCCACTACACCATGACACCCTCTGAAACTGCGAGGATAAACTTCAAGTTGGAAACAGATACTGTTGATTGCTTAAAGCAACTGCTACAATTCAAGAAGCTCATAAAGATTTAGTTCTCTATATTGAGAAGGAGAAAATTCTCTTCATGTTCAGTTATGCAGCCTAGCTCTCATTTATTTTAACAAGACTTAGTGGAAGGAAAAAAGATGAGATTCCAGAGCAACTAATGAAAAGACTTGGTTTAAATAAAAATCCATTTCATGCAGAGACTGGAAGCGTAGGGATGTCCAAGTAGTATGTAGGAGGGACTGAAAATCTGAAGGGTGACAGAGGTCTAAAAAAACTGACATTGTCCTTTGGTGAATGCAATGAAGACAGAAGAGCTGTGACAGCAGCAAGGCAAAGAGCTCAGATGCATATGAAAGGCCCCATGAAAATAACAACAATGTCCATAGTAAAGGTAGCACCTGAAAGTGGTTAAATCACTTCAAGGATTTAAACCACATAAAGACATAAAAAGCGATGTGTGTGCAAAAATAGCAGCTAATAATCACATTGAACCAAGCCAATAAATATTCCTCACACTTCCCAGAAAGCAGCTGCTCTGAAGCAATAACTCAACTCTGGGATAACCTGAAGTGAAAGTGCTTTTGTTTTGCAGCAAAATGGTCCAAAAAAAGAAAATCTACAGCATGTCCATCCACTGGAAAACAGTGGTGAACACAATTCAATTTCCAGGTGTGAAATAAATGCCCAAAAAACAAACTGAAGAGATGCATAATTTCATACCAATGCAGAAATAATGTTAACAAAAAAATAAAACTGAAGACATATAAAACATTTCAGAAACCGCCCCTGAGATGAAAGCAAGGAAGGTGCTGAGAATGTAACTATCAAGACAAGGTAGCTTAAAAGACAACCTGTAACAATTTATGACCAATACTGAAATATCTGATATAATGCATATATGATGGCATATATCCTTATAGTATAAAGCTAAAGTATGCTTATGAAACTAAGGGTGCTGTATGAAGGCATGCCTTTTTACATGCTTTTGTTTTAACATAAACCTTCATGCAAAATTTCATGCCTGCTAGGCTAGAACAGATATTTCTAAATTATGTTCTCACATTTATCTATCCTTACACTTCACAGATTATCTTCACCTTCAAAAATAAAATCTGATACATACTTAGAAGACCCTATGGCACAAGAGAGCAAGAGAAAACAAGCCAGTGTCAGTGAGATTTCTCTCAAACAATTGTAGCACTGTAAATCTCTTTTACTACAAGAAGCACCCAATGTCCTATGCAGTGTCTCCACTTCTGTTTCATATTAGGAGGAATAAAAATATGCAACAGTTTCCTAAAGCTTGGATAAGTATACTTGGAAACACACACACGAAATTCAAAGCATGCAAACAAGTTTGGCCTACCCTGTCTTACCAGCTGTACATTTATACAACTGTACTTAGAGAGCACAGGGATTGAATTTGAAAGAATTACATGCTGAATTTGGAAACATTGCAAAATACTTTTGAAATAAAGATATTTGAACGTATCAGAAGTCCTACAGTTTTGCTTATTCCAAACAGCTAAAGAAAATAGAGAATCTGTATTTCAGTTCCTACCTGCCAAAGCTGCATCCTCATCACTTTCTGATCCGTATTGCAATGCCATGGTTATTGCTGATAAACGATCTCCTTGGGCTGATCTTTTGTTACTATGAAAGGGAAGTAAAAAAACCACCCAAATTAAAAAAAGGGTTACCACATTAACCATTAACAGTCAGAGTGTGCAAGTAAACATGAAGCTCATGATGGTTGCCTACAGGAATACAGACTTGACTGCATAAGAAAACGCCCGAGCCCTGAAGAAGAGAAGCTGTTAACAACCCCTGTGTGTGCCCTGTGTGTGCATTCCATCAAACTGAAAAACTGGACACACCATCAGAAAGCTAGAGCTCAAGCTAGCTACCTTCTGCCCTATTTTGACTACTTGAGTATTTGAATTACTGGGGGACAAGGGAGATAATAACAAGTCCCTCACATGAGTAACATTGTTATTGATCCTGTTTTAGAAGGATTTGTCTACAAGAAGGAATCCAGCACACTGTAAACTGTATAAGCTATCTTCTCCCATTTCTCCGTTCCCACCTTATTCAATTTCAGCACACACAGTGCCTATATGAGAAGCAGCTTCCTCTGCTTTCTAGGTGGAGCAGATCAACATCCACACTGGCTATGGCATCATGAAGACTTCTTTAGCATTCCTCTCCTCCTCCCTTTTGTCCCAGACCTACATGTAGGCTATGCCTGACGATCTCTGCTTTTTTACTAGGTCAGGTCTTTAGGCACCTCCAGCAATGGGCTTAGCCTTGCCCTATGGCAGCAAAGTGAAGACTGGGAAAAAGCAGATGGCTTGCTGTCATGCATGCTCGGGTCCCACACTTTCCAATATATCCTTTCCTGTCCTTTGATACATACACAGACATCGTTCCCTTCATCTATAAGCCATTCCTGTGAAATGTCCATTGAGTTCATTTCACCCGTGAACTTGGGCTCCATGTGTCATAACAGTCCTTCAGGGGAGGACAGAAGGTGTGCGGTGTTGCACTGATGCATGCTGAAGCCAATTCTGGTTCTATCATGACTGCACTTTGCCCAGTTCCACCAGAATTCAGACAATTTTTTCATTGATCTGGGTAAATTTTATTGCAATACAGTTGATTTTGCATATAGCAACCCCAGTAGTGATGACATACAGTATCACATAGCAAGTAAGATCACAGAATTCAAATCACTGTCTCTTCTCAGCCAGAATCAAATCCCCTTGAGGTACACGTTGGACTTCCCCATCCTCCTGCATTACTCATCCAAGTGCATCCAGGCAGGGTGCCTTGGCAGGTTTATGGGAGGGGCATAATCTGCCAGGCCTCTCCATATTTTGCCAAGAGCAGGTTGAAAGCTTGTGGGAAGAATCAGGGACCAAGGCAACAAAGGAAACCTTGTGAGTGTCTACCACAGGCTGCCCACTCAGGATAAGACTATTGATGGAGCCTTCTTACTCCAGCTACAGGAAGCATAACACTTACATGCTCTTGTCCAGGCTTCTACAGTTATATCAAGCAGAAAAGGAAGGTCAAAGAAAGTCATCGCTGATGAGGAAGACAAGTAAACTGGGTTTCCTATTCAAGCCTGTTGTGTGATCAGTGTGACCCACTTACTCCATATAGCATCAATTGCATGATGTGTAGAGGAGACCTTCCCTTTGAACGTTCAGTTCAGCACCAGCAATTGGGGTGCCAAGAGGACCTGTGCTTCAGTACCAACCATTTCCAAAGCAGCTTGAACCCCCTCCTTCATACGCTGCCAGTATCTCTTTTTCAGTGGGAGCACAGTGGCCCTCAGATCCTATGTATTCCCAACTCCAAAACTATAAGGTTTGACCTCGAGTGTCCCCCGATGCTTTCTGCCAGAGGCTCCAGGCAGAACCATTCTCCCCAGCTGTAGTGTTAAGCATATTTTTTACATCTTGCCGTGCGTGGACTGGCCAAAGGGCTACTCCATCAATTATTTCCTGTTTAATTTGTTCAGACACTTGTCGTTGCCCAGGGCCTCATATGAAATCATTCTTCTGGGTCACTTGATAGAGAGGTCATTACTGCCAATGCATTAGCAGACAATGGTGTACTTCATACAAACTTCGCCACACGGGTTGTGCACGCTTCATCTGGATCTTTAGCAAACTGCTTCTTGTCCAGGTCATCGTAAATCACCTCCAGCTCCATCCAGTAATTTCCTCAGGTACTAGATACCTTTCTCCATGGTGGCCCACCTGCCTGGGTTACATATAACATCTTCCTTGATGGAAGGGATATGTTACATGCCTGACAGGAGTCATCTCCAGAGGCTGAAGACTTGTGCTCCTTTTCCAACAACATTGTCAGTGCTCCCTTCCCTGGAAAGGGACCCCAGCTGTCTGGCTTTCTTACCCTAATTCCAGGCTACTGGCTCTGTTATCCCGACATCAGAGTCAACATGCTTGCCTGGATGATGGCTGAAATCTCTGCATGGATCCAGTAACCCAGTCTACTCAGGAAGTCTGCCATAAATGCATCCCAAATGCAATACTTGCTTTTTACAGGCTTCATTGGTTTCTATCAGCCATCTCTTTAATTATTCAGTCCTACTAATTATTTCTTTTTAGTCTCCAAATATAATTTTCCAGTTTACAATACATTTCCATGGTTTTTTTCAGCTGCTCTATTTTGTAATGAAGCTTAACGTATTGTTCTTCAGAACATTTCTAAGGAAATAGCTACATAGAGAGTATTTCATGACAGGTGTTTTGAAATGGTAAATAGAAAATCAAACATAGAAGAGTAATTACAGGAAAGTAACTTATTAAATCATACTTGACAGATATTTGACCGAAACCTATTTGAATCTCAAAAGTATTTGCACCAATATTGAAGAGCACTTGCAACCAAAAAAAAACCCAAACCAAAAACCAAACTGAACCAACGTTTTAGTATCTCCATATGATGACGACCCACCTTTCCCTCCAAGTCCACAATTTACTTACCGATAATATTTGTTAGAAGAATTTCTCTCATCACCAACACTGCCTTTACCCTGTGAGGAAGGACCTGTCAGCTTGGAAGCAGTCAAATTTGATGGAGTCCTTAAGGTAGAAGACACAAGCCAAGGAAAGGGGAAAAAAAAGAGGCCTACCTTAGACCCACGAAAAGGTGCAGCAAAGATAAAGCTTTTTACAGAATTACTTTGATAGATCAGCCAAAAGGTTCAGAGACAGATATAAAATGTTTTAAAGCTAACAGCAAAGTAACACTAACATACATTTAGTGCCCCAGCATTAATATCGATTTTGTTTACAAAGTCAGAGGAAGGTAACATTTAGATTGAGGATGAATAGCTCTACACATAGCTCAGCCTACAATAGCAGTGAAAGCAGCCAAAAAATGTTCCTTAGCATCCAGATAAAGCTCATCATACAGATCCAATCATCTTTTATCAATACTTTACAAAATCACTGCCAAGTTGCTTGACAGTGCAAATTGTCAAGCCACTTTGACATTTTATTTAAGGGACGACAGTTAAATGCACCAACAAAGAGCAACTTAGTATGACAAAGAATACAATGAACTCTGCAACAGAAAAGCATGATTTTAAACACAGAGGCAACATGTCTGTAGAACAGGTTAACAGCAATATGACGAATTTGATTCAGATCCATCAATGACAAAGAAAAACAGATGTGAATTCAGAGAAAAATAGAGTAAATTAACTTTTAATGAACTTACGGGGGTGTTTTACCAAAATCAGCAATAGGTAAAGGAAACTCCCCTTTGAGACAATTAAGCAGTTAAGAAAATAATTATTTTGTGATGTTGACTCAGCATTGGTTTTCATGATACTTTTCTCTCACCCTAAGTTTTTTCTGCATTCGGCCCAATATTATTGTAGCCTGCTTCAGGCATATTTAATTTTTTGCCAAGTTAGAGAAACAAAGAAGGGACCTGTCAATTCTTCTGACATTCAGATTTCTTCAGGATTTACAGGTCTATTGAGAATGCAGTACATAAAAGAACATCTACAATAAGGTAGCTGAGAAGTAGAGGCGTGGAAATGGGTTGGCAGTGTAAGAGAGGAATTCAACTAACAAATACCAGTGTGATTTATCTGTCATCCCTTCTTATGCAAACAGCTTTGTTTAAAAAAAAAAAAAAACCAACAGTGATAAAAATAAAATTACAATTTAAATAGCAAACCTCTATGCCTGTATGTAATTCTAGTTACTGCAAAACAAACACGTATGTATATTCAGTGTCTGCAGAATCAAGGTCTTCTGGCACTACACATACTTTTAAGAAGGAAGATCATTTAAACATATGTCAGGAATTACTCCCTAACAGTATTTCTGCTTTTATATTTTTATATGCTCACAGGAAGCATACAAATGCTGAACAAAGAAACCAGCAAAACCACTATAGAGGTTGAATGCCTCAAAGGACCAAATAGTAAGAATAATAGTAAGACCAGGTAATAGTAAGAATAATAGTAAGACCAGGTAATTTTCCCTTCTTTCACACATCATAATTCCAGGCAACACTTTTAATATTAGCACCATCTACACATTTTTCAGACAACAAAAAAATGTAAACTGCCTTTCAGTAAGGTGAGGGAGTCCTGGTGTTTACAGTTGAACCATACAAACCTTTGTAGGAAATGACAGCATCAACTACCAGTAAACAGCTCAAATACATAAAGATAGCCCACCTTGTAAGGAGTTTGCTAACTCTGGGATGACTCACAAGATATTGATTTTCTAGATAAATGACATGGCTCATACTGGCAAATAATGTCTAAACCTATTTTTAAGAACTACTCATAAGAAAAAAGTTTGCATGAGAAGAAATCTAATTGCATTTCAGATAAGAAACACCTAAAATGAATGCATCGCTTCCCTGTACGTTATGATTTTCTCAGGAAGAAAACGCCATTTCCTAAATAAAATGATTCCATGAAACAAATAGAGTTAGGAGCTATATTTTATACCTGCCTGTTCAAGATCAAATTTATGCTTCACTAAGGCCAGATCTTCAGTGTCCTGTGCCTCTTTTCATAGCTAGAAACTAGTTTTCAAACAACAGTTCATAGAATGTGGACTTCCTTCTAAGTAGATCTTCAAGAACATCTCAGAAATATTTCACCACACAAATATTTCAATAAAAAGTTTCCTTCCAAAAACTGTTTTACATTTTTTAACTTTTAAAACAACAATAAACTAAGTTTTCAAGCAATCATTTCCCACTGTATTGTCCACAGCAAGATTAAGGGAATGTCTATAGAGATTTTTATATGAGATTACAAGAAGAACTCTATTCGCAGTACCTGATTCGGAGACTTGACTTGGCCAACTCACTGTGTTCAATTTCAGCCTTTTTCATATTAAATATTTTTTTAATCGCATTTGCATCCTGTCAATTAAAAGAATTTTTTTGTTTAATGTTGAAAGTGAAGAATGTTATACTCGGGAATATCCATCTATCTAAAAATCTAAAACAAAAACGAAGGGGTTTTTACATTTAGATATAAAACTATTTTGCATAAGAAATGAAGCATAGTACAAAGTCTGCCTGAAGTACACCCACAGTGGCCTGCAAAAACTCAACAGAATAAATAGCTGAGTAGCTTTGAGCTCATTTTTTGTCATAACCTTAAAAACCAAAAACACACACAAAACCCCTACAATTTGCAAATATGCACAAATGTCACTTTGAACTAAAGAGGGAAATTACTTTCTGTGCCTTTACAATCACAAAGTTACCACCATTACTGAGATTTACATCACTTGCTCTCTCTCATTCTACACCCAATACTTGAAGTAACAGTTCACAAGATAGAGATTACAAGTTTTGAGTGAGGTTACAAGTGTGAGTTACTCCACCAGGAACTGAAACTACAATCCCAACAGAAGTGTAATTGGAAAAGTCCAAGAACCACTTACATGATAGTGTTATACATACACATAGTCTCTCCATACAAAGCCCTTAAAATCTGAGCACACAAAAGAATAATTTACCACGGAAATTCTCTTACTTCCAGAGTACATGGAAACAGTAATGTGATAATCACAAAATAATAACACAAAAAGCTGGCAAACTCAGTTTGAAAAGACAGGAGGTGCAATTCGTCAGAAAAATACGGCTAAAAGGAAGAGGATCTTCAAAAACTATGCAGAGAAGGCATGACTCCAGTTTTGAAGGTTATGGTGAGCATCATAAATAGTTCCTGCAATCTGGAAAGAGATAGCAGCTGAGTACAACCGCTATCACTTGAACCTATAGTTTCAGGCATTTCAACTTCAATCACAAGTACAAGGATGCTCCATTCCTCCAAAGAAGTTGTGTAACTCATATCTCAAGATAAAATCTAATTGGAAAAAATCATATACCTCAGCAAAAAAAAGTTACATGCACTCCAATTATACTAAAAGCAATATTAAAAAAAAAGGAAAAGCCACTGTTAGCTTTTTCTTTCTTAATTGCAAACACTCTTTAGAGCCTTATGCTAAAGATTCCTTTAAGGATCAATAAGCACAGAAAGTAGTACAGAAAATCTGAACTCAAATCAAACTATGAATAAGTGAATCTAACCTTGAATACTTGAGATCCGGGCTCATTGTAGGTTTTGGCATTCTTTGCCAGAAGATCTATATCCTTGGCCATCGCATGAATGCTTTTGTAAGTTCCATTCTATACAACAAAAACCAGAACTGGTTAAAGTGGCAACCTTCAGACAATATGAGGACTGAGTCAGTAGCAAAAAGCAAAGGGAATTCATATAGAATAAAAGGAACATTTACAGAAAACCGAGAACATTTATAAAGAGGGCAGATAAGTACCTGAAAAAGTCATGAAAAAAGAAAGTTAAAAAATAAATGCTAAGTCCTTACAGAGTACATAAATGCTAAGAAAACGTTGCAAAAAATAATACAATAGATTACCTTAATTTTGAAGGTTTTGACAAAATGTTATTTTACCTCTATTCTCTAGTTCAATTAGTCTATGTGCTATACAAAACTACTATACAAAATGCTAGAATTACAGAACAATATTTCAAATTAGTGGAAAAGTAAGATGAAAAATTCATCAGTACAAATCAGCTATTTATGGCACTAGAACAAAAGCAAGTGATGCTAATGCACGACCAAGCTTCAATACATCAATGTTTTACATTCGCAGTACTTGCCAAGAAACTACTTTAAACCATTGAACATCAAGGAACCCAAGATATTCAGGCTTAATGCCAGTACTCTAAAGTTTACGATGCCTGATCTTCAACACAGCTATTTCTGCAGCACTAACAGTATTCAGATTTTTAAACCACAGGGGAAAAAACACATTGTCTTTCCTACCGCCACAAACTTTGGCTCCTTACAATTTTAGAGGGCTCACTGTTAAACAAGTATACACTCTGACACATTAATATGCTCATACTGTACCTGTATCCTTTGGGCAATAGTTTTAAGATCTATGGGCTCCTTTATTATTGCATAATAATCTGGATATTGCTGGAAAAGAAAAATATTCTGTATTATTACTATGAGCAGTCACGAAGCTATTGTTCTAATAGCTCACAGAATGAGCTATGAGTTGAACTGCAGGTAAGAACAGTGCAAGCTTCATAAGCATAGCAACAGGCTTCAAGTTTGGTGGGCCAGCTCGTAAGGCTGATACAAGGAATTATAATTCACCAATAAACTGATATAAAGGAACAGTTCTGTCTGAAAGCCAAATACATGGTGATGGTCTTCAGAGTATTTATTTTGCTGGTTAAACTTATGTCACACCCCAAAACAGAACAGTGAAATCAGACATATTTTAAAAGATTTAAAAAACTGCACAAAAAAAAACCCCATAAACCTGGCAAATCAGGGCAAGCCCCAGACTCCAATCAATGAAGGGCTGCGAATGAGTGGGTAGGAGCAAAGGGAAGGAAGCTCTAAAAACAGCTAGAGTCTGCCACTGATAACAAAAAACTGCATCCTGAGTGTGCCCACCACAGCGTGTAACATCAGTTACATAAATGTCCAAGTTTCCATCTTAAAACACAACCTGTATTATTAAAACACCCACCACTTTGGAGGGAAGTTTCTGAAACAGTTCACTGATGAGGCGTCCTGATGGGTTTGTGGCAACAGCTATAGCTTCAAGCAGCTGTTCAAGAATTTCCTTCAGGTAACCTGGAGATGACTAATAAGAAATGAAATCACAAAGAGTTTTAACAGCAGCCATAGTGGAGTGCTTTAAGTTGCACTAAAATACAGGAATTGACTTCAAAGACAGAAAAAATCAGCTACAAAACACAGATGCAACTTTCTAAAACAACCTTAGTTATGCATTTAGGTAAAGCACATGAGGTGAACTGTAATTTCACATTTACACTGCAGATTGTCCAACACACATTATGACTTAGTTGTCAATATTAATGAAAACATGCATCCCAACACTGCATACACCAGACAAGCCCAAACTTCCTACTGTTGTATCCAGCTTATGAAACACTCCAGGAACAGCTGCATTATCTGAATGGGACACATGCTGAAAAATGATGCCATTGGACATGAAGCTTGATTGCATCAAACCTCAACGTTGGCACGATATAAAGCACATGTCTCATTAATTTCAACTAAACTACAACCACATTTTATCTGTATCAGAAAAGCTCATCTTTTTTTTTTTTTGCTAGGCTAAAGTGAAACACACGATGCTGAGAAATTCTTAACTAACAAACTGGTATCAGAAATAGTTTTGGGGGCATAATTTAACTACGAAAAAATTTAAAGCTTATTCACACATGGAGCCAACCTCCCTCTCAGAGTCAGCTGACTTACACAGCCATGGCCTCCTACAGTGCCCACACTTACTAATTCTTGATTGTCATGTCCTTCCTCATCATCATCTTCCTCCTCAGCATCACCTTTTTGAACAAATTCATTCTTTGTGCGCAAATACAGCTCCCATAATTTGCAGGCAGCTTTATATTCAGGAGAATCAGGCTGCAAAAACAAATCAAACACTCTACTCAAAATTCAGATCATTCTTATCTGAAGGAAACGTGTAAATTATTAGTTGAATGCTATTAAATGCATGAAATAAATACATAATAGAAAACCTGGAAAATTCCTGCTCCAGTAGTTTTTCAACAGAGATTTTAAGACTCACAACAAGCACTAGAAAATACAACTTCTATCACACCAAAGTATTTAAGTCTTTCAGAAAACTTAGCAATAAAATTACTTGGGTTCAGGCTTGTACAAACCTATCGGATGAATGCAGAGAAATCATTAAGTTTTGCTGATGCGCAACACTACTGATATTTAAAATAGACTAAATATCAGTATGCCAGAAATGCGATTTAATCAAATACTGCTGCCATTGTGTGGCACTTGAAAATTAATTTCTACAGAAGAAGAATGCTAATAAGTGTGCCAGTATCTTTGAGAATAATTCCAGAATTTAGAGGCAGCACTAACTGAAATTCCAAAGAACTTAACAACATGCTACCACCTGGATACACATCTAGGTATATTTTTTGAAAGAGCTAGATGCATTAGTCAGCAAATTAAGTTTTGTAAATACAGAGCTGGTAGTGGCAGACAAGCATGTGCCTGTAAAGATACTACTTAGGAATGTCACCCAGAAAAAAGACAGCTTTTCCACTCTTAAGTGTTTTTCTTTCCCTTTCTTTTGTCACTTCACCTATATTTCAGGTATTCCTGCAGATAATGTCACCATTTTACTGTGGATTATGCTCATCTTACTTCCCTCTCTCAATCTCTGACAGCTTTCAACACAGATGAGAAACCAACATGAGAACTACCCTTAAACCTACCTTACTAGGATTAAATATTCTCAAGATGTTAGACCAGGTGTTAATCATGAAGAACAGATTTAAAGAATATTCTGCTCCACTCATCTGCTTCATTCTGTATTAATGCAAGACACTCCAAAGTGTAAGACTTGAACCAAAATACTAAAAACCCCAAAGGTTTCCATTCTAATCCAGCATTGCCAACAAAAATCCTGCTGCAAAAAAGACCTTGACAATGAATCAACCTCCCTGTTTTATATGCGTCATTGGAACTGCGTGGGTAAGGGAAAAGATGAAAAAAGAAGAGGCTGTGTTTGTGTGCCGTACCTCCAGCTCACAACTCCTCATTTCTCTGGAAATGTCAACACTTCTTCACCCTAGAATGATGGCTACTTATTTCTATTCTACTTGCACAATTTTTACAATACAGGCATAATCCCAAGTCCACCATTCTGTAGGCAAAAGAAACCATGAAAATGACAACATTAACGGGCAAGTGCCTTGCAAAACTTCGGGAACACACAACTCAATTGGTAATCTTTGTACTTTTTCTACTGTAACCAGAATGTGCAAATGTTTTATTCCATACATCTGATTGTTTTTCAGAAAGCTACACACAGACATATACAAACCTAAGCAAAACAAACACTGCTTTCCTGAATGTCACCTGGCTGTGCTGATTGGGTTATTCAGAAAACAGTCATTTCGATCATCTCCCAAGTCAAAGATAAATGAAAGTTAACTTCAGCAGTTTTAGATTTGCTGTTTCATCTCAGTCACTACATACAATTTCAGTGGTTTATGTATTTAGCATAACCTTCCATTAAACCAGACTAATCCAATTTTTTTCCCATATCCTTATGGCAACTGCAATAAAAACCAGTAACAGCTAAAATAAAACACACACCCAATATGGCAGAATGGACATCGGGGTTGCATCCTTGATGAAATACATTGTCACCTACACTCAAAATCTATCACAACTGACCACGATAATCAATGTGCCTTTTTTTCATATTATTAAGTGGTCAATGGACGAGGAAGATTCAACACTGCTACTGTACGCCTCCTGCTATTTATAAACTCTTCTTTTTAGAAGGAAAAATCATTTTTTTATATTTCAAAATGTTACACAGAGCATGTTGTAAAATGGGAAGGCTTGGATAGACGAGTATTTTTCTTAATTTATATCTCTATTTTTGCTTTTTATCTCTTTGGGAAAACTACACGAAGATCCTCCCCCCATTATTTTACAGTTTTCCACAGAAAAAATTGCTGTGGTTGGACAACTTACAATGATATGGTCAACCTTAGGGAAATACATGCAAATAACTGCAACATGTGCTATTCTCTTACCAATAATAAAAGCTAAACTGAAATTTTTTTTTTGCCAAACCAAGGAAGAATTTTAAACATAACTTGACAAATTTTTACAATGAATTTGAGCCTTTACTTGTATTTTCCTCACCTTATAGTAAGCCTTTGCGTTGTTGAAGAGAAGCTGAAAATCTGCAGTCAGCACATTCACATCATCATATTCCTCCATCTTTAGCTTTTGTTGGATTTTCATTAAATCAATTGGCTGAGAGACAACTTCATAATAATCTGGCTGATTTCTGTTGCAATGGTAAAAACAGGCATTATATTCCAAACAGTAAAACCAAAACCACAGCACTAAAGTTTGTACTTGTCTATGACTAATTAAGCATATAAAGTTCCAATGCATTTTTGCTACAGCTAAAATAGCTAGACAGTGGTCTATTAGTAGGCCTAAAGTATTACATGATCTGTTATCATATTCAGTTTTCTGTGTTTAAGATAAAATTCATTCTCTTACTCATCTACTGCATTTTCAAGGGTCACTTCCATTAATCTTCCCCAAGATATGCCTTTATTACATTGTACCTCTTATGTGGAACATTTTATAGTCGAAGACATTTATTACATTGCACCACTTACGTGGAACATTTTATAGTCAAAGGCATAGATGTTTTATGCAGGTGTCTTAAGAAATGCTTTAAATTAATTCAGTGTATCCTTTTTTGACTGAAAAAGGGCACAAATGTTATCATGTCCCATTGAATAATTACCTCAAATACTTGGATGGAACACTGGTGTGAAACTATGACAAATTTAGATTAAATTTTTCACAGCTATTAATACTGAAGTATTCCCCAATACCCACTTACTCCCTGGTTAAATCTCAGGTTCAAGGCTTAACCAGAACCATGGTCTTACCTTCGCTTCGGTGCCCTAATGAAAAGCTCACAAAGGAGCCTGCCCTGTTCATCTTTGTAATCTCTGATGGTGTTGTAAAGTTCATGGCATACAGCAATCTAAAATGCAAAAACAAGAAAGTAATGAAAAAGGAGAAAATTTTAAGAAGGTGGCAAATCAAAGCCTACTAAGAATGGGAAGACAAGCTGCCAATCCACAGTGTCCTCTAAAGGAGAAGTGTGAAGAAACTGCTGCATCTCACACATTAGTACAATACCTGACAAGTACTGCAGAATTCTAATTTATTTTTTTGAACACAAGGAGCTTTCTTTCAATGCTAATTCTAAATAAAACACCCAAAATGTAAATCAATTCAGTACAATTCTCACTCAGTTACAGACATCTAAAACAAAAACAGGGGTTCTTCTGCCCTGCAATTAATCAAAATTAGACTGCTATCTCAAAGGCTTAACAGAGACATTGTGCACTTGAGCAATCACTGCCTGTGCCATTCCCCACTTATCTGTCTCTGCATTTGCTACTCAGACACAGCTCTCAGCTTGTGCATGTTATGATTTTAGCTCCTTCTCCAACATCCCTCTGTCTGCTAAAATCATTGGGCAGGGGGGGAAATAAAAAGGCAGCAAAAGGAAAACGGGAAAGAAAAACATGAAACTGGGAAGACAAGAACAAGCCAAAACCAAACAAGAGCCTAAACAAAGTTAGCCAAGGCAGCAACACATCCAGGCCCACTATGTATGTCCTACACGTGATTTTACAAGCCTGCATTTCCCAGAAAGGGATACAGTATCACCAAGAAAAAACATTGTCCATAATAAGAAGGTACTAACAGGATCTACAGTTGGGAGATTGGAAAGTCTCCTCCTCTTTCTGCTCGGGCCTGGTATATTTGTGGAGTGGTGGGCATCATCAAAGTCTCCTCCGCTGACGCTGCTGGAAGGAGAGGTAGCTCTTCGCCTCTTGGAACCCATGGAATCCAACTTCTTCTATAATGAAGACAAATGTTCTTAAACTCATGGCATTGCATCCAAACTCTCTGGTGAGAGCTAACTATAAAACTAGCAATGCCCAGGACGAGCCACATGTATTAGTTATATACTACAGCTCACTTAAGCCATATATCTAAACGCCAGCTTTTTGAAAATTGGCAAGAGTAAAGGGAAATCGAAATGGTCCTACAGTTTTAGTCACTTATGACAGCAATGTCAGAAAACCTAAGGCTCACAGTAACGCAGATGAATTCAGCAGCTCTTACTAGGATATGTTCTTAAAATACCTACATTCTGATACCTCATTTCATACATGATAACTAAGCAAGAACCACTGTTTAGAGGATGTACAGAAACACGTGCTCAGTTCTGGTATAAAAGCACATTAATCCATATAAAAAAAACCAAAACCAACAAACCAACAAAAGCCAACCCAACAACAAAACCAAACCAAAACAAACCCACAACAAAAAACAACCAACAAACCCAAACCAGGAAGTGAACAAATCACAAATACTCAAACGGCTGCTGAATACCTTGTCTTAGATTCAAGCCAAGAAAAGTCTGGACCATCGCATGACCCACCTCTCCCACATTAAGTGTAGGACAAATGGCTCAATCAGCAAGAAGCAGAAAAAGCCAGCAACTTTTTTGGCCACAGCTTTCCATTTACCAATACAAACAGTGACAAATAACCACCAACAGCTATGGTAAATCACAGAACAAGTTGTTGGCTTTTTCCCAGCTTCCAGTGATAGCATCAAAAAATATCTTTATTTGTAGCTGTCTCAAAGGCTGAAGACGGAATAGATGTATCTATTCCAGTTTACACCCATTTTCCAACCAAATCAAGGAATTTCTTCTAGGAAGCACTCAGTTGACTTACAAGGTATGGCAGCACAATATAACTGCATTAAAGTGTTTATGCTAGAGACAGAACTAATTTCAAGCACACAAATGAGATAAGTAAGAATAAGGTAGGAGTAATTAACAGTCAGGATAAAGAAAAGCAAAATTCCAAGGCAGAGGAATGGAGACAATGATGCACATACAATCAAGAATTTACCAGATTTACCAGAGTACAACCAGCACCTCGAAAAGCCAGCCTCCTCATAGTGTCTGATGGCCAAGTACAGGTACTAGGAGAAGGTAACACTCTAAGAGTAGCAACGGTGTTAGTACAGTCAAAACTGGAAGACAAGAAAAAGGAAAGAGAGACAGAAGAAAATTGAGAGTAGATAATTAAAGAATAAAATCAAAGAATAAACTGAATAATTACAGTGACACAGAAGAAAGCAAGAAACAGAAGGTAGCTTATTTTAGACTAGCAGGAACTCTACAGAACAATTTCGTACACAGAATGCTAGACAGTTCTGTAATTTTTACAGTAAAAACACATTTATCCAATGTTCCTGAATACATATTACAGATTTCAGAGCCACTAAAGAATGCCTAAAGAATGATTCATCAAGAAGAGCAGGGAGTAAACGTAAGTAATATCTGACCTGAGAGTGAAAACCAAAAGCAGTAACACTTACAGAATGCAAAGTAGTACAGTGCTAACAATAAGAAAATAATTTTTAAGGTCAAGCAACATCTAATAGACTCTTTCAGTGACAATGCACCTCCACCAATCTTCAGAATGGATTTTTATCCTCATAAGTAAGCAACATTAAATATCCAGCCATACAGATTCAGTAAAGAGCTACCTGTTTCAATTTCTAAACAGTCTGTAAGCCTGATTTCTCCCCCTGCAGAATTCCATGTGAAATGTGCAGAAATGATTGCTTCTGTGTAGTTCATACAACTACTGTCTTCAGCCAAACCTGAGACAGGTTGTTCTCCTGTTTGGTATTCTGGACATTTTCATAACACACATACAGAAGAACCCAGTGCTATATTAGCAGCAATCACCTCAGGAACAGACGCACAGCAGGTCTCTTTTGGCACTGCCTCCAACTTTTATCTGAGAGCTACAGTATCAAATAGCTAACACCAGGCACGTGCTGATGTGGAGGCTGCTAGAAAACATAAGTTCATGGTTGTAAAAGGCAGGAGAGACTCCTGGGACCAATCATTCTGGCTCACCCAGAAACCCAAAAGTACACTTGGTCCAATCCCATCCTGAGATAAAGATGCAGGGACTCCCCCAACCAGCACCTGCAAACTGCACATTGGCTTCTCCACATCAGTTTTCCGAGGCACACAGCAAGCTGCAGCTCTCAGCCACATGCGGACACCGGTGCACACTTGTACTACTCAGACACCCGGCCATTCCATGCACAGCCTCAAAGATCATTTTTCTCCTCTAATAACCGAGCAAGGTGCAAAACACATACCAGTCTAAACAACATCAGGAATACTCAGTGAGAGAACTGCTTACATGAAACTCCTACCAAACGTCAGGCTCCAAAACGCAAACCTCTCTCTAGATCTCCAAGCTCAAACCCACTGACAATCCAATCCCACGGTGCACAGAAATGTACTATGTTTTACTGCAGAACATGTCATAGAACACCAGGTTGGAAGGGACCTCTTAGCCTTTCTTCTGCAACATAACTGATGGCTCACAAGTATCTCAACAGTCCCATCAAGAATCTCCATCACAACAAACATCGGGAGCTTGAGCATCTCCTTAATAATTGCTCACACCACCCACAAAAAAGGTCACATAACCATGGACATCTCTGTAACAAATGCTTTGGCCATTACTAATATACATGTATACTAATACACACACAACGGGTGGAGGGCTGCCTCTCCCGAGAGCCATGCTAGACTGATCACCACAAGAATGACCCAGCCTAACCTCATTAAATGAACAGGCTTTACAAACGTTTGAGATAACACACTTCAAACAAGCCAATGAGATTCTAGCACACATTTAATTTTCTGCCTCCAAGTAGAAAAAAAAGCTAAAAGCCGATAGATACCGCGGAAAGTATTTGATCGTTATCGGGATCTCCCACGTTTCAACAAATACTCACTAAAACATGATAAATTTAGCAAACGGAACACGGGAGGGAAACACAGCCAGCATTTCCCCCGCGTACGGATGACACTGAACCCGACTACAACATAAGAAGAGTGGGACAGCGGCAACCGAGCGCTCTAAAAGGACAAAGCTGACGAGGAAGGGAACCGCACAGAACATCGATCCTTTTATCGACACTGGGACAAGAAACAAAGGGGCAAAACACAGACTTTCCCTAAGCCGCCCGCAGCGGGCCCCTGCCCGCCCCCTTCCCCGTTCGTGAGGTGTTACTGCCGGCAGGAGACAAATTAAAACACCTTTC